ATTATTTTTTTATTATAATATTATTTTATTGTTTTTCATCAGGTTGGATTGGAATTTGGGTTTTGATGCGTGCCATTTAGCCTCTTTGGGCCCCACCGTGAGGCCGAAGAGCGAGCTTATGGAAAGATATTGAAATATCAGTGAATGAAACAGATTTTATTCTTCCTCTCTTTCCTCTCTTTCTGGAGATTTGCTTTGGCTAGTTGCAAATATATTAGTGTTTGGTTTACTGCTAAGAAGAAGATTTTGCAAGTACATCCACAGATGCCTTTTTTTCCTAAGTGGAAAAACTAAATTAAAAAATCAAGGGAGATCAGTTATATTTTTATTTATATAGAGCCCAGGATCTATGACCATAAACATTAAATTTTCTGAGCCAGATGGGCCCGCACATGAGTTTTCAAACTAGGACTTCCCTATTTCCCAAAGAGGCAGGAATGCTGGGAGTTGTAGTCCCCCACATGGAAGAGATCAGGTTGGAGAAAGCTGTGCTACCCATAGGCCTCTCTTAGTGGGACTGATAACAAAATGTCATCATACATCGGGGTGCTTTTCAGAGTTCCAGCCAGTCATCTGTGCAAATTTCCAGGTTAATTTATTCCAGTGTATTTCAAAATTGGCAACTTTAGGATGTGTGGACTTCAACTCCCAGAATTCCCCAGCCAGCATGCAAGTGGACTTCAACTCCCAGAACTCTCTTCAACTCCCAGAACTCGGCTCCCCATGCATGGCTGGGGAATTCTGGGAGTCAAAATCCACACAGCTTATGGTTACCAACTTTGAAAAACACTGATTTATTCCGTTCCCCTGCTTCTGATTATCTGGATCCTCCCCTCTCCCCTCCCCAGTATCCAGCATCCACAACCCAAAGTGATTTCACTTGTGGGTTACGTTTTGATGCGCTTTTGCAAAATTAGTTGTTTGTGTCGGTGTATGAAGGTGCTTTGGAGTGCAAGAGGGTGTGAAGCAGTTTAGGAAAAAGCAAGGCCCCTTAAAAAAATTGCAGAGAGGTGCTGGGTGGGCAACTCTGCACACGCCAAAGCATCTCTTTGGAATCGTGTTGGACGCACTGCACAGCCGTCCTATATAGGATTCCAGGCTTAGAGTAAGTGATGCTTGGGAATTGGAACTGTCACTTGAAATGTAGTAACTCGGGGCCCCACCTTCTAATTTATATTCCTAAGGGAGGGGGAACTGAGGGGAGAGGAGGTTTGGGGATGTGGGTGGAAGGAGGGGTCTCAAGGAAGGTTGCATTCCTAGTCTTAGGCAATCCTCTATCAATCAGAACGACAGACTTAGGGACAGGCATAAATATATATCACAGAACCACAGAAGGCAAAATTGACAGTCTGTAGCCTCGATGGTGAACCTTTTGGGCTCGGCGTGTCAAAAATTCCGAAAATGCCTAACTTGACACAGCTGGCATGTCACCCCCACCCCCGAACAAAAGAGAAACAATTCTTTACATATTCATTTATTAAAAAAAAAAAACAGTCCAGTCACACGTGGTGCTATGTATCATATAAAGAAACGTCCAATAGTTACACAAATGAAATACAAGTAAAACAAACTCGGTTTCTTTGGTAGCTCAAACAGGGAGAATCGTGGTTGTCGGGTGTTGGTGAACCCTGGTGTGTCACCCAAATGGTCGTGGCGGGTCACCTTTGACACATGTGTCATAGGTTTGCCATCACTGGCCTATAGATCCATAATATATTTTTCCCCCCATCTTTGCATCCTTCTTGATTCCGGGCAAATGCCTGGCCAAATCCCTGTACTTTTCTTGGCAAGATTTCAGAAGTGGTTTGCCAATTGCCGCCTCCTTCCTAGGGTTGAAAGAGAGCGACTGGTCCAAAGTCACCCAGCTGGCTTTCTGCCTAAGGCAGGGCTAGAACTCCCAGTCTCCCGGTTTCTAACCGGGATTTTCAACACTATGCCAAGCCCGCTAGATAGGCCAGGCCGGGAAATTGACTCCACAGTAAGGCTGAAACTACTTTTATTGACTATAAGTCTGTGCTGGACCTCCTTTTTATACTCTAGTGCAGGGTTTCTCAACCTGGGCAACTTTAAGATGGGTGGACTTCAATTCCCAAAATTCCCCAGCCAGCCCTTTAAGATGGGTGGACTTCAATTCCCAGAATTCCCCAGCCAGCATGGCTGGCTGGG